TAGGTCCGACAAGTGTAAGGTTATATACTTGTTTTCTCTGCCGTTCGGCTTGGGCAGGTGGTCTTCTGCGTAGTGTACGTACAACACCGTTAAAGCCATGAAAAAAGAGGTCCGACTACCCAGCAATAAAATGCAGCTGCTCCGCTTTCCGTGTTTTTCCGAACTGGTTTGCAGGTTTGTGATTCTATAGAGAAACATGGTCATTGTCATTGGAGGTGGTTTTAGCCTCACCGGTTTGCATTTTGTAGAAAAACTGGCACCTTGTAGAGAAAGTTGTACCCACCCAGCTGGGGGGGAAAATGAGAGATGCAGATGGAAGGACGGACCTCTAATGTCACGTTTGCTGTGTCTTGGCAACACACAGACTGGTTTGAAAGCCATGACACTCTCTACAAAATGGGTTGGCATTTTTTTATTTGCCAATTTGCACCCTACCTGACTTGCAAAAATTATACCCTCTACAGAATGCATCATGCGCAGTTTCTCCATTTTGGGAACCACTTTTTCTCTTATGCTGTATTATCCCTTCCAGAACCTTCTCCTTTTGTAGAGAGTGTCCCTGTCCAAAATGCCCTTGTGCGTGTGCATTTTGTAGAGACTCTGTTTTTGACTTTGGATAACTGTACGAGTTTGTGATTCTGTAGATCTCTGGGAACCACTTTTCGATTTATAACAGAATGCTTAGCACAACCTCACCTGGCAACCTCACAGGGATGAATTAAGCCGATTCACAGCCGAAGCAGCGAGGCGGGTGGCGTGTCAGTGGCTCAGCCGGTGTCCTCCTCAGAGCTGGGCCCTTGAGGAGTTCGAAGGACTGGGGTCTCGGTCGTCCGGTCACGCAGCCCCGGTCGATTGAGCTCGGCATGTCCAAAGAAGTGGATTCGGTCGATGGAGCTCGGCAGTTCCGTAAGCATCGCAACGCAGCTCGACATGCGAAGGCGACAGTGCACTAGAGATGGGAACCGAAGCCCATGGGCTTCCTCTGAGAAGCTCTTGGGTTTCTCGTGGCTGATTCACAAGGCACCACCGACACACTGCATGCTGTTTGGAGGATTCTTGCTTCTTCAATCGCGCTATGCCTCGCACATGGCATTGCTTGCAGCTGTGTGGCGCATGTCCTCCCTCTTCCCGCGGGTCACCTGGTGTGGCAGCACCCTTTTGCGGTTTGAGTGACTGGTGATAGGTTTACGTAGTCACCGGTCTTCTTCTAGTAGCGGACCGGACTAGGACAGTTTGTTGATGCCATGCTGCCGACGTCGTGTTTTGTGGCAACATGTAGGCCACCTGCTTATATGCCTAAAGTAAACTTTCATGGATGCGAACTCGGTGCTTTGTTGAATAAGGTTCGCATTGAGTTTGACATTGAGCGTGAGGACGGCCCAAGAGATCTTTTGAATGTAGCCGAAGCCACTTGCTGCAGCTAGCTATGCTAGCTGGTGGTGCTTGGTAGTCTAAACTTAAACGCATAAAGCAACGCATGCCGAAGTTATAAACGGATATTGTGATGGTGTGCCTTTGCTTTTTCTTAAATATCTATGCATTCAATTTGCTGAGAATTATGTAGATGTCAGTAGACAAAGCCCAAGGTTGAAGCCAGTCCTCCAAGTTGAGGTAACAAGCAAGACATTTGTTTCCCCCCACCAGCTGTTTTCGCAGGCTGAGGGTTGAAAGGTCCTTCTGTTGAAGGTCCTTGTGATGCTTTGTTCAGGATCCAGAATATGCAGTTGCCACTCAAGCCTTTGAGCAGCAGCGCCGAGCACTTCAGCATTTTCTGGCTGGACAGCGTTTTCGTGATGTGTGATACTATTCCTGCAGCTGGAATGGGGACGTCCCATTTCCATTTTGAAGGTCCACAGATGATCTGCAGATGCGATTTGGATGAGAAGATCTGGGCAAGTCGCAAGGACTGGCGAGCGTGCTGTGAACCAAATGATCGCGAGCGAAACTCGATGGCGACCAGCAGACGAAATCGGAACCGGGTGCATTGAAAACAGGACCTGAGCAGTCGGCAGACCGTGGAAAAGGAGAAAAGAGCATCAAACCCGGATCAGTCTGGAAAGTATCAGATACTCAGCATCCACATGCTAGCATCGCAAGCATGTCTAAGTATGTAGAGTGGATGCCAAAAGGTAGATGTACACAAGTTCCTGATCAACCCAATCAAGCACAAGTGACAGCTTTTCAATTGACCAATGGATCATGTGACCAAACAAAAAAAGCCATCTCCCTCGTCAGATCTCCATCCATGGAGACCGACCAGCAGCCGTTGGCATGTCTCTACTTCAATTGCAGCCGGGAGACTGGACCGAGGGTCACACGATCCGGGAGCCTGGACCGATGGTCTTCATCCGGTCACACGATCGGTATGAGAGGGGGGATCGAGAGAACTGAGGGACGGGTTCTTTACTGTAACCTTTTGGCCGTTTTGTGACACCTTTTGGCCAACGAAAAACCAACCATATATATACCCCAAGAACCACATGTTGATGTGAATCATACCACGAACGTTGTTGCCCAGGCATTTTGGAACCCACATGTTTGCTCGGCTTCCTGAGGTGGCAGATGATGGTCCTAGATTCCCAGCTTTGCCTGGATGAAAAGGATGAAAAAGGAGCTGTGATGTCTCCAAGTATCCCAGAATTTTGCAAAGAATGCAAATACCAAGTGCGCTTGCATGCAGCATGCGGTTGTTAGACTTGTGTTTGCATGGCTGCATGGCTTGCAAAACACGTGGTGCTCGCCACCGTGGGGACTTGACCCGCTGCGAGCACGTGCACACGTTTGGCAGCTACCCAGCACCAAAGATTGATCCAGAACGTACTTAAAATGGACACTGTTCTCCACCTAAGAAGACCCTTAGAGCAACAAGTGGACTAGATGACTAGATCAAATCCAGGCAACGGGGCAATGAATGGCAATAAGATCGTTTGGTTCTTGCTACTGCTTTAATATGCTTTAAGAAAGTTTGGCGATTTCCGACTTTACAGCAGCAACGATAGACTCTCGGATTGAACCGTCACTCTGTCGATGTGTCACTTGGTTCTCTCCCTGACTTGAAGGGTGTGCGAGGGTAGACAGCGCTCAAAAGCTAGGGAAACATTGTAAGGTTTGTTTAAAGCATCTCGCGTGAGACTGATTTGTATTGTAGGCTCAGAGTCTTCCAAGAAAAACCATCAATACTACAAAAACGATACGACCGCCCTGCACGTTGAGCAAGTAAAAGTCGATCAATATTCGACTTATATTGGCGTGGCTCCTTTGCGGTAGAAGGATCTTCCTTGGCACTTGAAACGAGAGTCTGAACCAAGGCACCCGGTATGCAGCACGTGTAACATGACAACGACAGCGTCCTCGGGTATGGCTTGTAAACAGGGTGCCATCCAAACCGCCGGTCAAAGGAGACATAGTCAATCAATTGCTTTTCGTCATCATGTGAGCATTTGTCACTCCAAGCAAAGCACCGCCAACACCGGCCCAAGCCAGAGACTTTAACTTCCACTTTGGTGAAGAGTAATGAGCTTGCAAGTTGCGAGCTTTCCAGGGACTCACTTCGGGGAGCTACTTCCGCTAGGCTGCAGCCCAGAAGTGTAGATTGTAGACATTGAATGTAAGAAAGATATGTCAGGAATTGTCAGGACAGATAGGATAGGAACACAACTGACAAAAATCAATCACCGGTCGCCCAGCAAGCAACTCGACAAGTTTTCTAAATTCGATTTGTTTTCGGATGGCCTTGGCGCTCCCTCCACAAGGTGCCAGGCGGGTTGCGGGGGACATTTAGGGTGGAAGTTCCGTCCCTGTTCTTGAACATCGATAGATTTTGATGCTGGACTGAGAATCAACGTCACAATCCCTTTAAAAAGTGGGGTGCCAGTGATATGTAGATATCGCTGATATCTATTATCTACTCTGAAAGCGCATTATGTGCCTGAATACCATGAGCTGTGCAGCGCGATGAAGGTCAACTGACCGGCCTAAAGTTCTTCTATGTCTGACAGATTGTCCATTCTTGAAGGATACAGCAAGATACAGCAAGTATGTAGAGTCGAGATGGTATCGGATGATATCAGATTGCTGTCTTTCAACGCACGACATCTACGATGCAGGCCACCCAATCCTTTGTGTCTACAAGGACGAGGAAGATCAGGTGTCTTCAGGCAACCTGTTGTCGGAAGAAAGTCCCTGTGGCATGATGCAACTGCCACATTTTGGAACACAAATTGTGTTCTCAATTCATTTGGTCGCAAGGAACTCCAGCAATTAAGTAATGTTGAATCCCCTTCATGATCTTCATGGGCTGTGTCCTGCTACAACCACAGCAATCACGACAGCTACAGCACTGGACCAATTGGATGTACTCTGGACGTGGAACTGGACACCGTTGACACCGTTGTGAAAAAAGGTCTGCAAGACCTTCACCGTTGACACGTTTACTGGCTCCAACTATTGGGTTGGATGTCCCAGAGGAAGCAGCCAGACTCACTAATTCAGACTGTTTCAGCTTGAATCATATCACAAACTAGACTGGTGTTGATGGCAGGGCAGATGGCAACAACATGCTACAACATATCACCGTACTTGTTTGAAGCCCCCAACTCACAAATGAGTTGATGTGCGGGAAAGTACTTCCAATTCCCAATTTAATTTTCCTAAGAGGAGTTGACAGTGACAGTGCTTTCTGTGCATCCTGGAGTATGATGTCAGATATCAGATAGTGATGATGGACTTGCCATTAATTACTATTTTGTGCCTGCGAGTCTGATGCGTGCAATTCCAATCATGTCATATGAAGAATTGTCTAACCTGCCTTGCGGACACACTGCAAGCCGACGGCAGCTAATGCTGCCAATGAACCGCCGAGGTTGTCAGTTGCAGCGAAACGACTGAAGAACTTGAGGTGAGAAAGCTGAGCAAGCCGCGGAAATCAAGCTGATTCGCGACCATCATTGATGACTGTGGACAATCCCCACCATAAGCAAGTCTAACCTGTGTTTACTGTATCATATAAGTCTATCTCTCGGTACTTGAGACAAGCTAGAGGGGTTTAGGCCAAGACAAAGCATGCAGGTTTGAGCAAACAGTTTCAAGACAACTGTGGCTATTCCACATGAGCTTTTTGATCATTTTCACAAGACAGGTGATTGACATCCTCCGTTGTTGGCGCAGAAATCAATTACTGATGCTCAGATGCTCAGATGCTGAGCAGGACTTTGCAGCCGAGCCTTCGTGGTGTTGCATCGGACGAGCATGGAATCGTTTGGCTTGCATCTGAGAATGGGAAGGCCTGCCCAATGCCACAGCATGATCGTGGCGTTTGGTGAGATTTGCCAGTTTTGCCACACATGCCACTCACATGCCTTTTAACCGGCAACTGGAGCGGTTGGTTGAAGCATTAGCTCGGGACGATGGACGACACACAAACCTCCAACTGAAGCCCGGACCCGGCTACTGGCAGGAGGATGTGATTGGTGAGGTGTGGTGGGTTTGTCGTTGGTTCTGAAGTGGCTTAGCCTGCTTAGCATATTTGTACCAATTTGAACAGGAGGCTTGGTCAGAGAGGCCACCGTTCAAATATGTTGTACGTTAGGAGGCACAGGTGCTAGGCTAGGCACATGCTGGGAGCGCACGCTGCGCAGGTGCTAGAGCTTCCAGTCCTTCCTGTTGAAGATGTTTATCTTCCAGGTGCACCTGTGATCTTGCAGGCGTGAGACGACCTAAGCCTAAGCAGTTGATTCCAATTCTACTTGTAAAGCCTGTGTGGTGCAGTTAAGGACGTTGCTGGGTCACCCCAAAAATAGAGAGGCCATTAGGGGAAGCGACTTTTGACCTTGCTCTTCATGTCCTGCAATGGCCACTGGACGGACCCTTCAACTTTTCAGCGGAGGTAACTGATCCGTCCGTCCGCAATCTCTACGACTCCTTGTTGCTGTCCGGCGGCCGCTATGTAGCAACTGTGCTATTTAACCAGGACACATCACCGCATGTTTGTGGCAGTGCAACATTTTGTGTTTCTTTGCTTTGTCAGACTGGCCAACTTACAAGCCCAATAACTGGAGACTTTGGAAGAAGGCTTGGTAGCTCATCTGAGGCCCTGTTTGTTCTTGCGAGCATACTCAGTTGTTGAATCTTTCTAATTTTGTTTCTGACCACATGAAGAGTGATGCACCCGCAAATTTGTTGGTCCCCGCTCTTGCACCTGTTTGTGTCCCCTCAAAACAGCTACCGGAGGAGAGCTCAGCGATGGCTGCCGTGGGCACGCTGCTCTATTTGGAGGCCCAGCACCACCGGCGGAACGAACGGGAGAAGGTCGAGAACGACCCCGGCGGATCGGACGCCCAACGACGACCCACCTGCTCGGGCGCGGGTGAAACACGGTGCCTCTTCCCCCAATGAGGATCGAGAAGACGATCTGTTGGAAAACCCATTTGTAAAGGGCTCCCATCTTTTTTTGACTCCCTTATTAACATGTTATATATACAAGTTATTATGCAATACAAACTTCTGTTTCGTCTGATTTGTCTTCGCCCCTGTGCCATTGGGAAACAGAAAGGACTTTCGAGAAGCTCCTGGTGGCTACGTGGCGGAACACACTGCCTGTGGGCGCTGCCGCCTGCGCACAGCTGCGCAATGTGCGAGTCGCATGGAGGTGTGTGAAAAAGACAATGATAATGCTAACAATGTTGGTTCATTTGCAGGCCTGCACAATGATTTCCCATCCCATTCAAAGCCTTGAACAAAATCACCCAGCCTTGCTGCTCTTGCACCTAGCATATGTGTGCGCTTACTTTGGGCTTGGGGTTTGAGGATATTCCTGTGGGATGACTGTGCTGTCTCAGTCTTGCAAATGCCCCAGGAGTATCAAATCAGAGTTTGATGACTGAGCGCTTGCTGCTAAGCAAATGTGCTGGAAGTAAGTCTCGAATGTTGCCCAAACAACCAATTTCAGACTTGCGAACACTTGCCGCTTTGACCGAACATGATCGCTACTAGGAGCAAGGACGCTACTAGTAGCTCCTGGCCTTACTACTAGCTACTAGCAAGAAGCTACTAGCAACAAAGGGCATCGCTACTATAGTAGCGAGGACGCATCTACTATGTTCGTCAGGTGGAGCTCTTGACGTGTGGTAGCGATACAGAAAGCTCCCTACCAACAGTGGTGGACTGAGTGCGAAGCAGAGCTTTGGGCGGAACGACCGACAGACTTCCGACCGCGTGGCCTTCGAACGTCCGGCTTTGCTCAGACACGGCTGGAGCCGCAGCTGTCCCAACTGGAACGCTTGCGGCAGAAGCGTGGCATCCCGAGCGGCCTCAAGGCCGACAAGACGTTGAGCGGTCTCAGTGTGTAGATTCTGGTTTAGATGCTTGCTCAACGTTCTTGTGATTGGTCAGCACGGATGAACTTGATGTGTCGACTGAAATTGTAAGAGCAACAGTGCAGCAATACCTGAAGCACCTTGGT